TCGCCACCGCCGAGAGCACCACGATAGGCTTCCACCATTCCCAAGAGCTATTTTAATCAGCCTGACGGCGGAGAGATCAGAGACAGCTATCCGGCGGCTGGCATACCAGCTATCGCCAAGCAACCCATCGCTATGAGACGAAAAACGCCTATCAAAATCCCATCGGATGTTCATGCCAGCAGAGTCAGTCAATGGAAGTTACAACCACCTGACTCTTACAGCATAGTAAGAGAACGGCGAAGTAGGACGCCTACGAGAAAGCGGAGTCAACAATTGTTGGTGAATCCTTGACGATAAACGAGCGACAGCTAACTCTGGAAGCAGATCACTCTGGTACAATCCTTGTCTACCTGCCGGCATTCGTTCCAAAAAGGCTAAGGCAGGTCGGCTATTACTATTACTCTATGCACATAAGGTGCTGGCGCTGTTGAGTCGGTACAATTATGACATGCGACACCATGAAATCTGATGAAAACACTCACATATTGGTCTAGATTTAAAGCGACGATGGCTCCCTAGGCTTTCCAAGATGGTCTCTTTCAAGCAATCTCATAAGGTTCAGCCCATCGAGCTCTTTATTCAGGTAACATATCCTACCAAATGGCAATAGTCACTGGACTAGAGCATCCGCTTACTCGACCGTCCAAAGGAACTCAGTGTTTACTACTGCGATAGTCGTCAAATTGGTGCTGGTTGCCCTCTCTGGGACAAACGGCCGCTTCGAGAAGTCTACAAAGAGGACTAAGCCAAGTCGGCGGTAGAATTAAGGTTGCTGTTATGGATGGGGGAGAGGGTACTGTTACGGCTGGGGAGAGGGTGCTGTTACGGCTAGGGGGAGAGGGTTTTGTCACGGCTAGGGGGGGAGGGTGCTGTCATGGATGGGCTCATGACACCATGAGTGAACGGAAGAGCTTTCTCACGTCATGAAAAAGGCAGAGAGGGAATCAGGCAAGAGGGATATCTAACGATGGAAATCCTGCTAACGACACGAAGCAAACAAGGCCCGCCTTGTTCAAACACCGCCCAAAGTCACTCGATCCGCATTTGCAGCGGCTACAATTTAACCCGACAACTCAAGAGTTAAGAAAACAATCGACATCCGACCGAAGCAATCCACCTACCCTCCAATGGGCCTACGCCTAGGTTCATTTGTTTCACGCGGCCGTTTGCCTTGACTTCGACAAATGCAAGCCCGACACACTAGCCACGTCCGGTTCAACGTCACATCCAAGCAACATGTTACATGCCGTTTTCCCTCGTTGCCCGCTCCAGTTCTACAGGAATCTCAAACATACGGATGTCAGCCGATACTACTACAATGAGCATACGCCAACACACAACAGTATCGGAAATTACCAAACATAGCCTGGGTCAGCACCTCACAACAATACTCAGATACAAACGTTCATCCGCCACGACAACTATTGTCCCAGAAGCAGCCAAGTGAAGCTAACCGGTCTCTTGCACGACTCTAGCTCTCCAGCACCCGGCATATCGAGCTCTTACCGGCATTACATGTGGAAGCCAACGTGCAAACATTCGTCAACCATCCGTGCAGTGAATTGGCGAGAACAACAAGCGTTTCCCAGCTACCCACACATGCGTATGATCGGATCGACAAAGGATCCTCGAAGTCAATGGAGAGAAATCCTAGAAAGGTCTTTCAGCGATCTTCATCATCGGGTATCCCGACTTTAACTATAACAAAGAACACATAGGTCTTTCAGCGTTCACCGTAACTCATACCCATACGCCTTTCGTACCCGGCCATTAAGATAACTCTATCCTCAGCTTCTCAGCATAGCCGAATTTGCCTGGGCCACGGGACCAGCATTCCGCCAACGGTTTCGTTGCTTTCGTATGTCTTTCCACAACAGGGTTACCCAAATGCGTGCGTTGTTGACAGTTTTTCGTTTACTAGCGTACTAGGGCACAGGGACTGTGTGGGATAGCCAGCTGGGTGCTTTTGGCTTTCTTGATCAACAGAAACAGACCGAGGCGAGTTTGGTGGAGGGGACGAGAAGCCGTAACGATTACCTCGCCCCCCAAGCAATTGACACGTCAAACTCCGAGCCAGTACAATGATACCTGACCATATTTACATGACTCTCACAAGTGACCCGTCTTGACTAGTTGCCACTGGCGGTTCGTGAGTCTTGAATGAATTATCCCCATTATGAATGACATGCACGCTCCATAGGCCTTTTAAGCGAGTGTTCTAGGGAATACGCTACATACCTATGCAAGAGGTACAATGTGAGCTCTAGGCAACTACTACCCGGCTATAGTGCATCATTTCATTACGGGGTCATCTGGAAGGATGGTTTCTTCTCCTCACGGGCCACCGTAATACAACGGGGGCCTTCGTGCCACAAGAAAAGAAATAGAACCCGTGAACGGACGAGGCGCCGGCGTGAACTTGAACCTTGCATTACGGCTGGCTCCCTCTGACGCTGAGGCTATGTACGTACGTGAACGAGAGTTGCCCGCAACAAGTACAACTACTCTGTAGGTAAGTAGGTGTCATTTCTTACAATGTTCTGGTGTCTCGTTTATCCTTTAACCCGCATGCCTACACACGTACTACCCCTATATTCTCTCATCCATGTCAGCTTGTTGGACTCTTTGAACCATCTGCCGCAAAGATCGCAGGACAACATTGGATAGGCACAAGGTCGCCAAGATTGGAGAGAGATGCCTGAAGGTGCTCACTTATACGGACTGGCCCTGTATTCCCTCATCCATGTCGGCTTGTTGGGCTTTTTGAACCATCTGCTGCAAAGAGCGCAAGACAAGAGGGCAAGAATCGCCAAGATTGGAGAGAGATGCCGAAGGTGCTCACTCATACAGACTGGTCCTGTATTCCCTCATCCATGTCGGCCTGTTGGACTTTTTGAACCATCTGCCGCAAAGAGCGCAGGACAAGAGGGCAAGAATCGCCAAGGATGGAGAGTGATGTTGAAGGATGCTTGCTGGCATTCATCGTGGATGGCGGTTTCCTCTTTTTGGTCCCGCTCTGGCAGAAATACCTACTTACCTGCCTACCTACCTACCTACTGGTAAGGGCAGGAGCGCTCCACACCTCCTCAAGCACTACCGGTTGCTTTGCGAAGCCACGACTCTCCTCGATCGAGATTGATGTGAGGCCATATTGACGTTGGGTCAACGCGACTACGATTCTTGGCTGGGGTGTTGAGACTAGGAGTGTCTCGCAGTGCAGCGGGTATTTGACGTGGCTTTTGGCGCTGTACCAATATCCCTTCTTCATCATCATTACAGGCATCAGTCAACACACTTTTCACTACCGGCGGAACTCCACGGGCGATACGACGATGAGGAACTCAACAAGGGTATACGCATAGAATTTCGATACAGATTCCAAGTATAAGCGTCGGGTATCAACCTTTTCGAAGCCAGGCTTTCAGGCGTTGGCAGGTTCAGGGCTCTGGAAGAAGATACCTACCAGCGGAATCAGACGGGCGATATGACGATGACGACTTGAACGAGTGTACGCGCGGAGTTTCGGTAGAGATACCATAAAGGTAGGACTTAATAGGCGTTTTCGAACCGAGGGTGCATAATAAGTTGGCGAGCAAAAGTCTCAATCCCCTATATGGCTATAAGCTACTAAGATAGGATCCATGGCAAAGGTCCCAGGGTCAGGCCGAATGAATTGAGTTACGAGCTGAGTTCCTCCACCAAGTGATGTGTGTCTTCAAAGCCGCCTCGAAGCTGTAGACAGGGTAACCATCCTGGGTATTAAGATACGAGAAAATAGTCGAACGAGATCCGATATGTTACATAGCACTGACCTTACGACTCCAGTGGACAAGGCAGATGGTCAACGCAGGCTGAAGATGAATTGATGGCTAGTAGATAACGACGAAGCTTGACTTGATAGATGGAGATCATTCAATACTCCCAACGAAACTGGAACTTGGCAGAGGGAATGCAGTCGGAGAGACATGATTGTGATAAGGTCAATTAGTGCCAGGTCTTCCCGGCATAACTCGAACGAGGGGGAGAGGTGGAAGACTGGGAGTTGACTTCAAACTATGTACCTACCAAGTCACAGGGCTCCACTTTCACATCCATATCAACAATACCTCCTTTGACTGTCTTCTTCTACACACACCAGGCACCTTCGGTTGCCTGCCTACCTAAGCAGCAACAGATGCAGAAACAGCCCCAACATCAGGGACCTTCCTCATCTCCCGGAAGTGGTATTTTTAGGATGGTATGTGGGGCCGTGCGCAACGGTTAACGGGTGTGGGGTTTGCCCCGAAGGGCTGACCCCACATTCCGGAACCCGACCTCCAGCACCGTGACAATAGGATACCTAAAGAATGGCAACGTCGCGGATGAAGGGCATTTCATAGTCACGACTTGTCGTTGGTCCTATGCCTGGCGCTTTTACCTTGTAAATACAAAACCATCAAGCAGCTGAAATGCCCTCATCAATCCTGTTGAGAGTCATGACGGCATCTAACAAGCCAGCGAAGTGCGCGTTGTCAGGACATAAACAACTGGTGGTATGTCGATGAGTTTCCCCAGGAGGAACATAACGTATTCATGCTAGAGCCTACTCCTAATAAACCGCAGGATTGGTGTAGTGGTTGTAAGTCATTGAAGTCTCCCAATTCAAACGTCCTGTTGATACTAACCTTTCTAAGATCACGCACCGTTCACAGTTGTAATCAACGCAAGTTCCGGTGAGGTCGCGAGTTCAATCCTCGCATCCTGTATGATTTCTTTTTGCTTAGAGCACTTGTGGGTGATAGTTGTGGCCAGACAGCTCGTCTCGCCTCAGATCCGCCACACAGAGCTTAACTCCTGGGATGCTTTATACATACATATTTTTACATAAGTCGAGGGCCTAAGGCCCTTACTTTTGTCGTCCCATCCACCTGAGCACAAATTTCTTAGTGGTGTGGATAAAAATCTCCGAAACACCAAAAAAAAATCGCCCGATTATCGTGATCGATCTAGGCAAAAGAAACAGGTCGAACCGGGGATTGAACCCGGGGCCTTCCGCGTCCACACTGTATCAATGTGAGGCGGACGTGATAACCGCTACACCATTCGACCCTTGCTTGTTGTTGAAAAGAAACGGCTAATGTGAGCCCAGAACGTTTGCGTGGAGTTGCGGGATTTTGACTGTTTTGGGGCGGCGCCCACAATCCAGAGAATGAATCTCTGGTTCCACTTTTAACAATGTCATTAGTCATACAATTCGGAGCGCACCACTTGAAGGAAAGTCAGCCGAGTTTCAGGGGTCGCGCTCTCTTGCTAGGCATTCAGCATATGGCATTTAACACAGCTAATTTATAGTGATTTGCCATTTCCAGGCATTGCACTTCGTTCTAGAGGTTTTTATTTCTATCGCAGAAATTCGCGAAAGCATTATCTATAATTGAGTATTTAATCTTCACGAAGTTATAAACAATAGGGGTATCAACACTCAACTATCCACATCACAGTAATAGTCTATATTCCACTTCTCACCTTCAGGGTTTCCAATCCCCTGCGCTCTCTCAAAGATCGGGGATTATCAATTAACGAGATTCACAGGCGGGGAGCGGTACTATGGACACCGCTCCATAGCTGGAAGCACTTCAAAGTAGAATATCTCCCTTGAACCTATGAATTCTTGCTAAAATCCCATCCTTTCTTTCATATCTCTATGCAGTAAAATACACAAACTAAGATATGTCCAAGCCAGTAAGAGCAGACCTAGATCTAATATTTCAACGAGCTTGACGACGAGGCTAAGACCCTCTACCCTCGCTTCGATGGTCGCATTACGATGACTGGAATAACTTCCCTGAACATCACTATGGTCCGCCGCTGCGCGGCAGGACTAACTAACTAACCCCAGCTTGGCCACGCTCGCCATTCATCACTTAGTCAAAAGGCTGCACAGGGCCAGGGGGGGCCTCGGAGCAACTCATCGCCATTTATCACGAGAAGATCCATGAACAGTGTGGGTCTCGCTCAGGTCTTGCGATATCAGTCAACTTGCTATTTTGCCGGTTCATAATAATGGTTGGCACATAATGAGATAGACATCTTCCTTAAAACGTCTTTCCGGCGTTGGGACTCATAGCATGGTTTATTCTCGCTATCGTAAGGCTGTCAACTTTCCATGACTGCCGAGATTGTGCGTTTTCCCAGTTTGCAGGGCCCATTGCAGCCATTTCAATCTGAGATGGAAACTCCCCCTCTCAGTCAAAGAAACGAGCGTTCGCAACACGCATTGAATAACTTTAATTCCAACATTTACATGGATTTTTCAGGTCCTGCAAGACAAAGTGAGAGCCATTTAAGCTCATTGACATCATGGATATGTAGCACAACGATCTGAAAACGCCAATACCCCACCTTGTCTGCAACTTTTTGCTGAGCGGATTGTTACTTGACTCACACCAAGCTATAGACGCCTTCAAGCTTCAACATGACACGCTTTCGTCCTTGTATTGACCTCCATGCCGGTCAGGTCAAGCAGATTGTCGGTGGAACTCTGGATAGTTCTTCCTCGGCCCTGCAGACAAACTTCGTCTCGCAACACCCTCCGGCTCACTTCGCCCAACTGTACCGGGACAATGGGCTCTCAGGAGCCCACGTCATCATGCTAGGCCCAGGCAACGATGGCCCGGCAAAGGAGGCCCTTCAAGCTTGGCCAGGTGGTCTTCAAGTTGGAGGCGGTATCAACGACAAGAATGCAAAGGAGTGGATGGATGCAGGTGCGGAAAAGGTATGCCATCAGACCGATTCGCACGGGAGGAATAGCTGCTCACCCGACAGGTCATCATCACGTCCTATCTGTTTCCGGAAGGCCGCTTTAGCCAGGCAAGGCTGGATGCGGTCCTAGAGGCGCTCGGCGGTGACAAGAACAAGCTGGTCATTGACCTCAGCTGCCGTCGTCGCGGCGAGGATTCTTGGTTTGTGGCAATGAACAAATGGCAGACAATCACCGACATGGAGGTCAATCAAGGTAATGGATGTCTAGATACATGTCTCAAAACATTGGCTGACCAGAGACAGAATCCATCAAGGCTCTGGAACCCTACTGCGCCGAGTTTCTGATCCACGCCGCCGACAACGAGGGTCTCCAGAAGGGTATCGACGAGAAGCTTGTGGAGAGGCTCGCCCAGTGGTGCACTATTCCGGTTACCTATGCCGGCGGTGGTCGACACCTTGAAGACCTAGAGGCCGTGAAGCGGCTCAGCAACGGCAAGGTGGATCTCACGATCGGGAGCGCATTGGACTGTTTTGGGGGTTCAGGGGTCAAGTTTGACGATTGCGTCGAGTGGAACAAGAAACAAGGGAATTAAGAGAAAGCAGCAAATCATTTATAGACGTCCTTGACGATTGTCATTCACAAAGCCTCCACAGCAGGGCGTTGAAAGGTCTCGGGCGCGAGGCCGACAATGCGACCTGCTTGTGACGGCCGCATAAATACGACAATAAAAGTGCCAGCGAGCCAATGCAGGGTCCAATCTCGAGCCAGAGAATTTATATAAGATGTTCATGCGAAACCACATCAGACTCTGGCGTCTAGTCATGAGGATGCTCTAGCTGCAGCAACACTGCTGATAAACGAGCAAGCCACAGAAACCCGCTTAAACATGGTAGGACCGAGTTTTACAATCCAGCGTGTGGGAGAAACAAACATTGATCGAAAGAAGCGAGGCGTGTAGGGTGTGGTAGTGTGGATTTTGTTTGTCTGGGCCACACCCATGCCGGCAAAGAAGAGTCTAGTGCCGAGATGACTTCAACTGGCGCTCGGGAAGATCGAGATGCAAGACATGGCAGAGGCATCGTCTAAGACTAGCGGAGCCATCCATTGAGGAGTGGGGGATCTCGAGGTTGCTCAAGTTCCGACAAGCTAGAAGAGAGATAGAGTGTTCTGTATGTGTATGATGCGATAGATGTGAATGTGGGCACGAGATCAGGTCCCATCAACATCAGACTTGCTTCCCAACAAGGCCCAGTACAGTGCAGTAAGCTTTCTGCATCTCCATGGGTTACTCAAAAGTAAACGTCATGATGAGGAAGCTTAATTGGGCAAAAACAACAAGACTCCAGCTTTGTAAACACTGCGTAGCTGCCCATGACCAAGGATCATGCCAGAATGGCCAACCAATAGGCCTGCCAGCACGGCGGCTGGATGCGTTGCTGCCATGGCGACTACGGGGGCCTGTGTAGCGTGTGTAGCGAGCAGCCCAGTACTGCTGCGACGCTGGCTTTGGTGGAGGGCAGCTCTCTGCAGCGCTTGGAGAGGAGCCGCTGCAGCAGGGGCGGGGTAGTCCCTTGAGCATCCCGGCGCATTGTAACAGAAAGATTAGCGTCTCCAACGTCCGACTCTAGCTCGCCTCTTGCATCTGTTGCCCAGGCGACGCCTTCCGCACACAGCCCGTGTTTGTTTTCTTGCCGTCCAATCAGCGCCGTCTCCTGCCTGGCTCTACACCACTTCCCTTAAACACATCAACTCGCCATAGCACTCTCCCACCTACCTGCGCATTTCTTGACAGCAACATCGCTGATAGATATTCAGTTGTGTCGAGTCGAGTCGGTCGTCGAGCCTTTGAGAGAGCCGTCGTCTGTTGACCTACACCAAGGGCGTGTTTCTTTCTTCAAACCAAACCGACTACTTACTTACCTTACTTACCTTGCCTTCCTTCATCAGCTCTCGCCGAGTCGCGACATTCCTCCTCCCCCTACATTTCTTTGTTTGTATCCCTCTCCGCATACCAATGCGTTGATAGTCCACCCACCCTCACGACAAGACCATCAACCAACTGGTGTAGCATGGCCACTGAACAGGTATGTTGACCCGCGCCACTCGCCCTTTTTTCCCGGGGAACTGTCTCTGACCAACACTCGCACAGGTGCATCCTTTGCGCATCACAAAGAACACCCAAAACACATCCCCTACCAAGATGCCGAGCGGGATCCCTCGCCCGCTGTCGGAGCTCTCGCCGACCGAGATGCGGCGAAACTCCCCCAGCTGGCACAAGCCGTCCAACGGCTCTCCCAAGGTACGTGGTCAACATGGGTCTGCATTGTTTACTTTTTGCTCACACATGGCACAGAAGTCAGGAAACCCCGATTCTTCACCATTCCAGTCATCGCCGCTCGAGTCAGTGACGTCCCCACGACTGTTTTGGCAAAACCGCAACTCGGAAAACTTCTATGGACGAGGAGGGTCACCATCTCCAAACCGTCGCTCATCGATCGAGCGTCTCCAGAGAGCTTCTAGAGTCAGGAACAGCAACATCCTGGCGCTTGAGCAGAAGCAGGAATATGATCCTACTCGGATTCCTCAGATTGAAAGACCCCTCGCTAAGGTCCAAGGGAACGCTTTCGGATCGACTGGCTCATTCCGAGCTTCTGCAAACGAACGCCCATCCATCGCGCACAGCCGAAGCGAAAGCAAGACGAGCGTTCTCAGCATGAGCCCACCCAAATCTTCCATCCCCCAGTCTATTGGGTCACCGAATCGCCCCCTTACCCCGAGCCGAGACCAAGTATCGCCCACAAAGTCGTCTCTCTCACATCGATACAAGAGCAGCTTCGACATGGAGACGGGCACCTGGTCTGCGGGCTCACCCGGCGACGAGCACGAGCTGCCACCGGGACGTTCACTGCATCGTCATGCGAAGAGCGTGACTTTTGACGCTGCACCTCCCCAGATCAACGAATACGAGATGGCGACTCCTGACCTTTCATCCATTGGCACCAACTCTCGGGAAGGAAGTTATGAGTCTGATGACGACGACGACGATGACAACATGCTCTACGACCCTGGGCACGTTGATCTTGAGGGTGACAGCTTCGATGCGTCGCTCGAGGACACGGATAAGACACCTGTTGTCGGCCCTGACGACTGGAGAGGAGAGAGCCCCCTGGTGCAGCGCGATGGACCTCGCGAATATGATGGCAGCCCCATGCCTGAAAACGCACCTTCTGTTGCATCCGCTGGCCGTCCAGCACACATCCGCACTGATTCTTGCACATCAAGCGGAGAGCATCGGCCACTACCACCTCTCCCTGGATTTGTTAGCCACTCGCGCAACAACTCTGTC